AAAATGCGATAATACAACCTTCCACTAGTTCAAATAATTCAAATAATCAGATAATTGCACAGTTAGTGCTTAATACAGCCGAAAATGTAAACGTGGATAAGTCTAGTGAAGGTAATAAAAATGTTAATGACACCTAATTTTATGATTTATTATTTTTATTTGTTCAAATAAATATTTTCTATTCAATATTTTGGTTATTTGTAATTTATTAAAAATTTTCTTCACCTAGATAATCAAAGTGATTCTGAAAATAATATACACCCAAAAGACGTTACAACCGATGAAGTTGCAAATGAAGGCTCTACCAGATCGAATAATAGTTCCGAAGAAATGGTACTAATACTAGTTAAAACCATTGAAACCATTGATGAATCATGGAGTTTCTTTATAACATACTTTTTAAACACCGGACTTTTGTGGGTATTTCAACCGCACGCACGTGACCTAGCGGGATTTGAGAAATGTGGGGGATTGTGGGTTTTTATACAAACTTTAATTAATTTATCATATGATTTGTATTACATTGGCTTTTTTTTTTACCAAAAAAAAGCTGCCTGCATATAACTACTGAATTTCGGTTATTACCAAAAATGGGCAATTGCAAAATTGTATCGGTATCTATAATTTAGAGTTGTTTTCGTATGATCTGTATTACTGTATTACATTTGCTTTTTTTTTTTACCCAACAAATCTTGGAGAGTTTACACTACCTTGAGATTTGGTTAAAAAAGTTTTAACCATTGATATGCTTTTTTTTGAAATTGACTGCCAGATATATTTGATTTATGTATATCATTATATAAATCATTAAAACCATTCCACAAATCTCTAATTTTAGCAGCTCTTTCAGGAGTAAATATAACACTTAGATCAAAATTTCTTAAAACTTTAAGTCTATCATTTCCTGATAGTGATGTAAATAGCCACGTTTTGGTACTCTGATCTTCCCAAAAGTGAAATTGAACTTGTATGCGTCTCATTTCAGAAATAATTACTTGTCATGTTTGATCATTAAAACAATGAGTACTACGAAGTTCACTTAAAATAAGAGTCCATAATCGATCGAAAATTCGTAACAGTAGATGAAGTTCATCAATAA